TGTGTATCTGTGTGTGTGTGTGTGTGTCTGTGTATCTGTGTGTGTGTGTGTGTGTATCTCTGTGTGTGTGTGTATCTGTGTGTGAGTGTGTGTGTGTGTGTATCTCTCTGTGTGTGTGTATCTCTCTGTGTGTGTGTGTGTGTATCTGTGTGTGAGTGTGCGTGTGTGTATCTCTGTGTGTGTGTGTGTGTGTGTGTGTGTGCAGGCAGTGGATCTCAGTAAGCCCATAGACAAGCGCATCTATAAGGGAACTCAGCCCACCTGTCATGACTTTAATCAGTATTCGGCCACGGCTGACAGCGTGGCTCTGATCGTGGGCTTCTCCGCAGGACAGGTGCAGTACCTCGACCCCATCAAGAAGGAGACCAGCAAGCTCTTCAACGAGGAGGTGAGCAGATGAGCCTGACTCATGCACATTCACACCTGATGAAAACATCTGTATCAGATGATCAGTGAACCGGATCACCAGTCGTTCAAAAAGTTCAATCTGGATCAGAATGATTGGTTTTGCTATCCAGGATCAGGTAACCCATCTTACTTCTGTGCCGGTTTTTCAAAGCAAAGTTGGATTGGATCACCCTGATCCAGATACACACTATTCCAGATTTCCAAATCTGGATTACTAGTGCTCTACGGAGCCCCTAAAGGGACATGCTGATGGAGAAAAAAGCCAATGTTTTGCATTGCATTTACACAAATAACTACTTCTGACTGCTCCATCTCTGATGATTGCGCACGTGTGTGTGTGTCTCCCCCTTCATCTCTTCATTACTCTTCAGTAATATTCTTGAATTTAAATCACTTCTTAAAACTCACCTGTTCTCTGAATGTTATCATTTATAAGTTATGTCCTACGTCTTTTTGTTTTCTCAATGTTTCCATTCTTATTTTGTGTTGTGTTTTCTCGTTGTGTTATATTTTGTTTTTTACTTGTGCGCAGTGTTGGGGAAAGTTACTTTTTAAAGTAATGCATTTCAATAATGCGTTACTCGCTAAAAAATAACTAATTATGCTACTCAGTTACTTTTCATGTAAAGTAATATGTTTCGTTACTTTTTAAATCTGGCCGGGGCTTCCGTGTTTGTTTTTAATATAAAAAGTTCTTCTTTTACAAATATAAAAGCCCTTTCACACCAAAAGTGAATTGAATGCGCCTCAGGCTGAAGGGAATGTAAATTCTCGTCTGTACAGTAGAGGGCGCCGCTCAACCTAATCACATGAAGAATATGACGCAGGAGAAGAAAGTTCAACACTATTCAGCAATAACACAAATCAAACACAAATGTGTCATTTCTGCTTATTAGTATGATTGAATTGGATCATCGAAGGTCAGCAGCAAAGATATCGGTTCATAAAATGGGATTAAATACATAAACAATATTTGTCTTATTTAACGCATTTAAGTATTGCAGGGTTGTATAATATTCTGAGTTTGCATTTGACTGTTTGTATTGATTGTGAGGAGCACTGAATGTGTTTGTGTGCAGTGAGATGAGTAAACACATGTTGATATTGAGTCTAGAGCTACAGTAAGATCATGTTCACACACAACACTCTGCACTCACTCCTGATTTCTGTCACCATGGCAACACCAGAGCTGTCACTCAACACATGAGAAACAAAGTAACTGGTATTACTTTAAAAAAAAAATGTAACTCAGATATTTCCTTCTAAATTAAAAAGTAATGCTATACTTTACTAGTTACTTAAAAAAGTGCTTATGTTTGTCATGTTTGTTTATTATACCGATGTTCTTCTTTTCTAATCGTATCTTCATTGTAAAGCGACCTTGAGCACTGGCGCTATATAAATAAAACTTATTATTATTATTCTCTCCCCAGAGGCTGATAGATAAATCGAAGGTGACGTGTCTCAAGTGGCTTCCGAAGTCGGAGAACCTCTTCCTCGCGTCTCATGCCAGCGGTCACCTCTACCTCTATAACGTGGAGCACCCATGTGGCACCACCGCGCCGCAGTACTGTCTGCTCCGTCAAGGCGAGGGCTTCGCAGTTTACGCCTGCAAGACCAAAACACCCCGTAACCCGCTGCTCCGCTGGGCGGTTGGCGAGGGAGGGCTTAACGAATTCGCCTTCTCGCCCGACGGCGTTCATGTAGCCTGCGTCGGTCAAGACGGCTGCTTGCGCGTTTTTCACTTCGACTCGATGGAGCTTCAAGGCGTGATGAAGAGCTACTTTGGCGGGCTTCTCTGCGTCTCCTGGAGCCCCGATGGGAAGTATCTCGCAACAGGCGGAGAAGACGATTTAGTGACGGTTTGGTCGTTCGCAGAGAGTCGCGTCGTCGCGCGCGGACACGGCCACAAGTCGTGGGTCAACGTTGTCGCGTTCGACCCGTTCACGACGAAACTGGAGGACGAGGAGCCGATGGAGCTCAGCGGCAGCGAGGAGGATTTCCAGCAGGGGGCGCTGCAATTCGGCCGCGTGCGAACCAGCAGCACGCTCTCGCGACTTTCGCGGCACAGCTCCAAAGGTGGAGCTTCATCCGTGTCGTACCGCTTCGGATCGGTTGGGCAAGACATGCAGTTCTGTTTGTGGGATCTGACAGACGACGTTCTGTATCCACGGCTTCCGCTCTCCCGCGCGATTACGAACACCTTCGGTCCTACGATCCCGAGCGGAAGCAGCGGAGTTGAAGGTCACCATCATCCCTCAAACCCTCATCAGACGTCGACGTTGCCGATGCCTTTGCCTCGCTCGCTGTCACGCTCCAATTCCCTTCCGCATCCCGCCGTCGCAAACACCTCCAAAAGCCAGGGGGCGACAGAGAGCAGCGTTACGAGCGGCGGAGGAGGCGGAGGCGGAGGAGGAGGAGGAGGAGGAGGAGGAGGAATCGTGCAGTTTAGCATCGGACGCTTCGCAACGCTTTCTCTACAAGAGCGCAAGACGGACAAATCCGGGGTGGGAGGGGAAAAGGAGCACAAGCGCTATCACAGCCTCGGGAACATCAGCAAAAGCAACGATAAGATAAACGTGGCACCACGCAGCAACAGGCTAGATGGCGCTAAAGTGCTGGGAACCACGCTGTGTCCGCGTATGAACGAGGTTCCGCTGCTGGAGCCGCTGGTGTGCAAGAAAATCGCACACGAGCGGCTCACCGTGCTCGTCTTCATGAACGACTGCATCATCACGGCGTGTCAGGAAGGACTCATCTGCACTTGGGCCAGACCCGGGAAAGCGGTGAGTCGAGATTTAAACGCAAAGCATTCAGATTTGCGTGCAAGTTTCATTGCAATGCGCTAAATGCATGTCAAAATAAACCTGTACAACTTTTCAGTGGTCTTGATTACAGAAGTATTTTTCCATTCAATTTTTCCCATTTGGATTTTTAAAAAGTTATAAGCCATGGTGGATTAAACCAACAAGCTACACTTAAAATTGTTTAAAGGGGTCATATGATGCTTTTTTAAAGATCATTATTCTGTGTATTTGGTGTAACAGAATATGTCGACATGCTTTAATGTTCAAAAAACACATTATTTTTCAAATGCTGTACATTATTGTAGGTCCTCTATGCCCCGCCTCTCTCAAACGCTTCGTTTTCTACAAAGCCCCTCCTTCCGACAAGCGCAGCTTTAAAGAATTTTTTAAAAATCAATTGGTGTGCGATTTACTTTAAAACAATTTTCACTCAGAAATTGCTAGTAAATTTTTGCAAATAATTACGAAGAAACAGCAAGTAACACATTGCATTAAATGTGGAATTTTGAAGTAAAAAAAGACTGAAATAGTATCTTCTTGAAAAATGTTTTTTAGTAGTTATTATTTTTAACAGCCACTGAAATAATAATCATGAAAAAGTACATTTTTTTGTTACTTATTTCAAAAAGTGAAACTTTCATATATTCTAGATTCATTACATGTAAAGTAAAACATTTCAAAAGTTTTTTTGTTTTAATTTTGATGATTAGAGCTTACATCTCATGAAAGTCAAAAATCCAGTATCTCAAAATATTCCCTAAGATCAATTAAAAAAAAGGGATTTGCAAAATAGAAAAGCTCAAGTTCTTTACAGTATGTTGAGTTCTGCACTCAGGACTTGGTCGGGGCTCGTTTAGCACAAACTCCAGCATCAGTGAGGAGTTAATGGAAGCGATCCGCCTGTGGCTCTGCTGAGACACTATTGAGCTTCAGCTCGGATCCACTGTTTCTCATCTTTCTCTTGAAAACATCCCACAGACTCCATATGGGCTTCAGGTCAGGCATGTTGGCTGGCCAATCAAGCACAGTAATATCATGGTCAATGTGGGCAGGTGCTAAGTCCTGCTGGAAAAGGAAATCAGCATCTCCGTAAAGCTTGTCAGCAGATGGAAGCATTGACTTTGGACTTGATAAAACACAGTGGAGCAACACCAGCAGACGTCACGGCACCCAAATCATCTCTGATGTCAGAAACTTCACACTGGACTTCAAGCAGCTCGGATTCTGTGCCCCTCCAGTCTTCCCTCCAGACCTTGATTTCCAAATGTAATGCAAAATTTACTTTAATCTGAAAAGAGGACTTTGGAGCACTGAGCAACAGTCCAGTTCTTTTTCTCCGTAGCCCAGGTGAGATGCTTCTGACATTGTTTCTGTTTCAGAAGTGGCTTGGTAGCCCTTTTCCTGGAGACGGAGTGACTCTTGATGACTCCAGCTGACTCCAGCTTCAGTCCACTCCTTGTGAAGCTCTCCCAAGTGTTTGAATCGGCTTTGCTTGACAGTAATCTCAAGCTTGGGTCATCCCTGTTGCTTGTGCACCTTTTCCCACCCAATTTCTTCCTTCCAGTCAACTTTGCATTTAATATGCTTTGATACAGCACTCTGTGAACAGCTGTTCTTTCAGTAATGAGCTTCTGTGACTTACTCTCTTTGTGGAGGGTGTCAATGATCGTCTTCTGGACCATTGCCAAGTCAGCAGTCTTCCTCATTATTGTGGTTTCAAAGAACAAGAGATACCCGGAATTTATTCTGTAGGGATGGACATTTAATGAAACTCAAATGTAAATATTCTAATATTTTAAGATATTGGATTTTTGACTTTAATGAGATGTAAGCTCTAATCATCAAAATAAAATAAAAAAGTTTTAAATGTTTTACTTTACATGTAATTGTAATGATTCATCAGCACGGCTGGGATCCATTTGCAGTTTTATTAGAAACTTAATCAGACAAGCAGAGATCAAGACACAGATAAGATGAATCTAGAATATATGAAAGTTTCACTTTTTGAAATCAGTTACCAAAAAAAAAAAAACTTTTTCGCGATATTCAAATTTTTTGAGATGCACCTGTGTATAGTATATTATTATAAAACAGATAGTTGCGGTGCTTGATTCTGATTGGCTGAGCCGTGTTCGAAGCTGTTGTAAATGACGCTACAAAGTAACACACACCTTTGTTTACGTTTGTGTGTTGCTCGGCAACCACTTTGTAGCAAGCACAACTGTTTCTCAGGAGCTACATTGTTTGGTGGAAGAATACTGTGTTTATTAATATCATTACACTTTATTTGCTCCGTTTTATTTTGTGAAGCCTTACTACGTATATGGAGTAACCGTTTTATAAAAGCAATAACCCCCGTGAAGCCATGGTTTACAGTGAATTTATAACAGCTAAGGGGGTTTAAACAACGCACTTTAGCTGTTATAAATTCACTGTAAACCACAGCTTCTTGGAGCTTATTGCTTTAATTTATATACATATTTGTTTATTTATTATTTATTATTATTTATTTGTTTGGCCAGTCATTTTCAGATGTAGCAAATATGCTGGATGCTGCCAAAAGTTACTTCATCACTGCTCATATTTTAGCTTGTGCTGTTTCTTGTCTGTGTTTGCACTAGCACCCGTCTCAGCCGCTGTCAGCACAGAACGGAAACTCTCCGAGCGGGACGGTGGTATAGCCGATTCCCGTGTCTGCATCCGGAGCCGGTCCATCACAGCGTCACCATTCACCCGTCCACTGAATCCTTACCAAACCACACGCTTGAGTTCACATGAACGTAAACACACCCCGGGACCATGCTGCACCGCTGCGACGCACCCCGGCTCTCTCCTGCAGACAGACTGCGAGACTCTTCTGCCGGCCTGTGTGGAATAAAACATGTGTTGTAATAGAAACTACATATTTCCCAAATAATATGTTCCAAACGTATTTATTATATAGTTGTTTTCACCGAATAACCGCGGAGCATGCAGGCTGCCGCGCGGTGCATTGTGGGAGCCGCTGATTGGCGCACTTCCGCTGCCATTGTGCGCGAGAGACGGTAAATAAGACTGAAGCTCAGCTCCAAACACGCTTTAAACACAACTTCTGCTGAGGTAAGAGCGTCAAGGCACGGGAAATATAGATGTGTTGTTTAATTGTTATTCTAGGCAGCCGGGAAAATGTCGTGTTTTGTGTAAATCCGTGTCGGTTCGAGCGCGTTTGTGTTTATATCGAGATGCTGAGGCGCTTCGTCCGCGCGAGCTGCAAAATCCGTCCGAAATAAACGGATATTTCACAAACGCTGAAAAACACCGTAAACGCCTCCGTTCCTGCTTTACACGTCCGATATCGCATCCCTAGAGTGTTTTCTGTGTTGTCCGAGTGTAACTGGTGGGAACACTGGAGTGATTCGCAGCGAAATTGTCGAAGTTTTATCGTTAGTTCGTCTGTTTTCGCGCTCGGTTTTCTGTCGGAGTCAAACAGGCGCCATGATGTTCACGGATGAGGGGCGGGGCTTACGCTTGCCGTCTGCTTGGTTTCCTGTCCTCCGATTGGTCGGCTCATGAATATATGATTAGAAGAGGCTGGTTTTTGAGGCGTGATTGACGTGTTAAACTTCCTGTTGTTTTCAAGCTCGAACTCAATCCTAAAGTGTCTTAAATACTGATTTTGAAACATTATCCCTCCATTATTTCAGTATGACATGATTATATTATTAGATTTAAAAAAAATTTTATGAAGCAGGGGTTTTCAAACTGGTCCTTGGAAAGTTTAGAGGAAAAAGTGTGATGAAACTGACTACAAATGCAAATAAATTTGATTAAAATGAATAATATACAAGTTAATTGAAACAAAAATAAATTGTTTATAATCATTTAAATCCGTAACTAATTAAAAAAAATTGTTAAATTATTTAAATGGTGATTTTAAAATGTTAATCGATTTGCTTTTAATCATGTATTCCTTTATTTATTTACTTATTTTAATGAAATGCATTTTATTTACATAATTTATTGGTGCGAGAGATCGCTCAGGACTTCAAGACCGACCTGCGCTTCCAGAGCGCCGCCATCGGAGCGCTGCAGGTCAGACACGGCCGTTACACTTCTCCGGAAAACCACTGTGTATTTGATCCTGCTCGAGGTTATTACAGTGGACTAAACACAGTAAAAACAGGGAAATATTATTACTATTTAAAACAGCTGTTTTCTCTGTGAATCTCTGTTAAACTGTAATGTATTTCTGTGATGCGCAGCTGTATTTTCAGCATCATTCCTCCAGTCTTCAGTGTCACATGATCTTCAGAAATCAGTATAATATGCTGATCTGCTGCTCGAGAAACATCTCTGATTATTATCAATGTTGAACACAGTTGTGCTGCACAATATTTTTGTGGAAACCGTGATACATTTTATTTTTTAGGATTCACAGATGAATAGAAAGTTCAAAAGAACAGCATTTATTTGAAACAGAAGTCTGTTTACTGTCACTTTTGATCGATTTAATGCATCCTTGATTAATAAAAGTGTTAATTTCTGAACTATTGAATGACCGTAGGTCACGGTTTCCACAAAAATATTGGGCATATATGAGGGAAAATAAGAAGTGCGTATGAAAAGCAAAGTTACATTGATATATATATTATTCTTTCTTGCTGATCCGAAAAACAATCCAATCCGTGGCTCAAAAACTGTAATATGATCTGAACCGTTGGGGATTTGTGATCCATTGAACCACTAATGGTATCTCAGTGCTACTAGAGTCTTCTCAGGTCATGTGACTCGTGTGTGTGTGTTGCAGGAGGCCAGCGAGGCGTATCTGGTCGGTCTGTTTGAGGACACTAACTTGTGTGCCATCCACGCCAAGCGCGTCACCATCATGCCCAAAGACATCCAGCTGGCGCGCCGCATCCGCGGAGAACGTGCCTGAGAAGGTTGAATAAGTGGGTCAGGGCTGATGTCTGCATTCAGGGCTTTGCGTCTCTCATGCAGGGTGCTAAAACAGCTCTGACCTGTCCCAGAATTCCCTGCACCGTCCATCACGAGCGCACGTGTGTGTGTGTGAGGCTGTCGATCAGCACGGGGTTTGTATACGAGCATCTCTCCAACAAATGTTTATTATTGCAATATTAAGAATTACTTTTAATAATTATTGATGTCTGTTTCTTTTTTTTAATGCATTCATATAAAGCTTGTTTCATAGATCTAGAGCATATTTTTGAAGGTGGAGATTCTTATAAAGGCATTTTTACATCACAAATCATGTTTATTTTCTAAAGGATGAGTTTGGGTTCAGTCTCAGGCATGTGAAGGGATGTTCAACATTACTCTAATTGGCTTCAGCGCTGAGAATAACATGTTTATCTGCATAAACGACCTGTTCATTGATAGGAGAGTCTGGATGGACTGACTTATTAATTTGAACTGAATAAATATATATTGGCTTGATACTGTTTTTGAGTTTCGCCACGATAATTTCCTTCATTACAGAGCAGTTTTCTACTCTCATCCCTTCAGCGTCTCACGACTCCTCAGGCAGACATGGAAACATTATTATTATTAAATCCTGCTTGATTTGTGGCTGTTTTTGTTTCTCCTTTATTCAGAGTCTGACTACAGAACATTCAGGTGTTTCAATAAACTGATCTTTGTCAATTTCTCCTAATTGTGTAATAAATGGATGTCACACACTTTTGTGGTTTGTCTTTTATTGTGATGTTAAAATAAATTGCATTCAACTCTTGTTATAGGAACTGACGTTTTATTTTTTGCCGATTTTTAAATTGTAAAGCACTTCATTTCTTGTGAAAGACGCAATACAAATAAAGTATTAGATTACATATATTAGTTTATTAGACATAAGTGCACATTATATCTGATTATTAGACTAGTACAGATACGGAATGGTCCCAACTAACCAAATTTCAACAAAAATCCAAAAGTAGATGCAAATTATTTTTTTAAATTAAATATCATTTAATATTTTAGTAAGGTAATCATTTACGGAGTGTCTTTTTACACTAAGTGAAGTTGATTTATTTGAAGAGGAAAGAAGAGACCCTTTCTTTTTTGTTTATTGTATATCCACCTTTAGCCGAATCCACATCTCACATCACATCGGAAAGACATTTATTTTTAATACAAATGAAGGAAATCCTGGAAAAGTTGTAAATGAGGTATAGGGAAAATACTGCTATTTTCACTGTGTTAATAACCGCTGCCAATTATTGAACTAATGAAATGGAAGCATCTATTATAATAATTACACCATAGTGAACTTATAAATGATTTACACAAGGCTTAATGTGTTCCAGACAACCCTCGGAATTGCTCGTTTTTCTCGTCGTGCAGACTATTTTTCTTCGGAATTGCTCGTTTTTCTCATCGTGCGGACTTTTTCTCATAACTTACTTTTTAAATCAAAATAGCGCATTTTTCTCGCAGTTCTGAGGTTATATATCACATGTGAAGACATCAGTGTCATTATCCAGATCAGTTCAGTGTTAAAATGAAGCGAGTTCAGTTCATGTTGAATGGATCATTAATGAGTGTAATGTGATGATTACAGGTATAACCCGGAGAATCTGTCCACGCTGGAGCGGTACGTGGACACTCAGGCCAGAGAAAACGCCTACGACCTGGAGGCCAACCTGGGCGTGCTCAAACTGTGAGTGCTGCACACTATCAAGGGCTCCTCATCAGTGCGTGTGTGTCCTCCAGTACCAGGGATGGAACCATGTCGAAATCTCCCCATACCATATTTAAGAAAAATATTCAAATTTTGTACATTTTAAAGTTAAATTATTTTATCTAATGCACTTTGAGAGTCAAAATTAAGAGCTGCATCCCTTGTTCTTAACTAAGAAAACTTCAGTGAATTGACTTGTAGCTGAACTTTAAAGGGACTCAACCCTCTTTTTATTTGTGATATAGTGTCTCAGTCTAAATTACAGTCACACTGCTGTTTTAGGAAGCCAAACAAATTATAATATAATAATATTAATAGCAAAAATCGTTTCATATCGTCATGTGACCGCGATAATATCGAGACGGTTTTGCTATCGTGATATCATGATAATATCGTCACATCCCTATCAGGTACCAGTTCAACCCGGCGTACTTCCAGACCACCGTCACGTCTCAGATCCTGCTCAAAGCGCTCACCAACCTGCCGCACACAGACTTCACGCTCTGCAAGTGTATGATCGACCAGACCCACGTATCCTTAATGTGCGCTGCTGGAGTTTGTCTCGACACGCTGCCGGAGTTTTTAAGATGTTCAGCATCATTACTCCTTATGATCTTCAGAAATCATTCTAATATGCTGATTTTGCTCGAGAAACATTTCTGATTATTATCAATGTAGAGAACAGTTGTACTGCACAATATTTTTGTGGAGATTCCAGATGTTTCCTTGACTGCAGTGTCGCAGCAGGAGGAGCGTCCGATAAGACAGATCCTGTATCTGGGAAACCTGCTGGAGACGTGCCACTTCCAGAGCTTCTGGGTACAAACACACACACTTACTCTCACACACACACTCTCACACTCTCACACTCACTCACTCACTCACTCACTCTCACTCACTCACACACACACTCACTCACACACTCACTCACTCACTCACTCTCACACACTCACTCACTCACTCTCACACACTCACTCACTCACTCTCACACACTCACTCACTCACTCTCACACACTCACTCACTCACTCTCACACACTCACTCACTCACTCTCACACACTCACTCACTCACTCTCACACACTCACTCACTCACTCTCACACACTCACTCACTCACTCTCACACACTCACTCACTCACTCTCACACACTCACTCACTCACTCTCACACACTCACTCACTCACTCTCACACACTCACTCACTCACTCTCACACACTCACTCACTCACTCTCACACACTCACTCACTCACTCTCACACACTCACTCACTCACTCTCACACACTCACTCACTCACTCTCACACACTCACTCACTCACTCTCACACACTCACTCACTCACTCTCACACACTCACTCACTCACTCTCACACACTCACTCACTCACTCTCACACACTCACTCACTCACTCTCACACACTCACTCACTCACTCTCACACACTCACTCACTCACTCTCACACACTCACTCACTCACTCTCACACACTCACTCACTCACTCACACACTCTCACTCACTCACTCACTCACACACACACACTCACTCATACTGTGTTCTGGTATATATGGTTTATGGGGACACAGATGTGTATAATGACATATATACAGTCAAACCAACATTTATTCAGACAGCTTCAACATTTCTCACATTATATCAGTTTATTGGCTATAGTTTAGAAAACGGTACTAAAATATGAGAAGAGCTCAGAGTTAAACTGTCAGAACAAACTCCTCTTGATAATGTCAGATAACTTTGATAGAAAGGTATGTAATGAATTCTGTTGAATAGCTGTCAGCTGTTAAATTTAAGAACACAATTAGATAAAACCAATTCATTACCAAGCAGTGCTTCATTCTGTTCAGTCTGTGGTGTAAAAAGATCACATTAGCAATTAAAGAATAACACTGAAGCAAAACATGCCTGAATATTTTTTAATCCCATATTTCACTGTATGAAGAATCTTTGGGTGTAATATGTCACGGTTTACTTTATTTAGCTATCCTCACTTACATAAATGAACTATAGTGTCCTGCACCCACTAGTAAAAAAATATCAAATATTATATCTACTGTAGGTAGTACAACGTAAACATGGTTTATGAGGTTTACGCTTCCTGTTTCCCCGTAAACCGAAAGGCTTAAAAAAATAAAACTAAACAGTGTTTTTTAAAATTCTAAATATGCCTGTAGTTTTGTGTGAGGGGAAGGAGACAGAAAATACAGTTTGGACAGTATATGAACCATTCTGCCTGTGGAGAGTTAGTGAATGTTGTGTGTGTCTGTGTGTCTCCTGGAGGAGAATCGAGATCTCATTGATGGAATCACAGGATTTGAGGACTCAGTGCGGAAATGTAAGTGATTAAGTGATTTCTGATATTATATAGATTATGTTTCCTCATCTGCTGCTCACTGAAACCTCTGAAAGCCCAATTTGTTCAGACTTGCATGGTGCTTCACATATATAACACTTAACACACACATACAAATACTCAAAATACACCAAATACACATGGGAAATAGAAAAAAAATTAGATAAAATACAAATTAAAATTAAATAAAATAATAAATAAATCAACTAAAATTATTACATTTTATGAGACATCTGCTCTCATCACAGCCGATTAATTTTATTATGAATCTCTAAAGGTGCAGTGAACCAGGATTACTGTGACTTATTTCATATCTTAATGTTGGCAGTGCTGTGACGTTGAAGGCATGATTTCCAGCTTTCAGTGTGTTCTGGTGTGAATGTGGTGTGTTTGTTCTCTGTGTCTCCAGTCATCTGTCATGTCGTGGGAATCACGTATCAGAACATCGAGTACAGGCTGCTGGCCGAGATGCTGGGAGATCCTCTGGGTGAGACGCCGTCCTCCACACACACACTCACTCTCACACACTCCCTCACACTCACTCACACACACTCCCTCACACACACACACTCCCTCACTCACTCACTCACTCACTCACTCACTCACTCACTCACTCACTCACTCACTCACTCACTCACTCACTCACTCACTCACTCACTCACTCACTCACTCACTCACTCACTCACTCACTCACTCACTCACTCACTCACTCACTCACTCACTCACTCACTCACTCACTCACTCACTCACTCACGCAGTGCTTCATTCTGTTCAGTCTGTGGTGTAAAAAGATCACATTAGCAATTAAAGAATAACACTGAAGCAAAACATGCCTGAATATTTTTTAATCCCATATTTCACTGTATGAAGAATCTTTGGGTGTAATATGTCACGGTTTACTTTATTTAGCTATCCTCACTTACATAAATGAACTATAGTGTCCTGCACCCACTAGTAAAAAAATATCAAATATTATATCTACTTCAGGTAGTACAACGTAAACATGGTTTATGAGGTTTACGCTTCCTGTTTCCCCGTAAACCGAAAGGCTTAAAAAAATAAAACTAAACAGTGTTTTTTAAAATTCTAAATATGCCTGTAGTTTTGTGTGAGGGGAAGGAGACAGAAAATACAGTTTGGACAGTATATGAACCATTCTGCCTGTGGAGAGTTAGTGAATGTTGTGTGTGTCTCAGGCCAGTCTGGAGGAGAATCGAGATCTCATTGATGGAATCACAGGATTTGAGGACTCAGTGCGGAAATGTAAGTGATTGTTGTATTTCTGATATTATATAGATTATGTTTCCTCATCTGCTGCTCACTGAAACCTCTGAAAGCCCAATTTGTTCAGACTTGCATGGTGCTTCACATATATAACACTTAACACACACATACAAATACTCAAAATACACCAAATACACATGGGAAATAGAAAAAAAATTAGATAAAATACAAATTAAAATTAAATAAAATAATAAATAAATCAACTAAAATTATTACATTTTATGAGACATCTGCTCTCATCACAGCCGATTAATTTTATTATGAATCTCTAAAGGTGCAGTGAACCAGGATTACTGTGACTTATTTCATATCTTAATGTTGGCAGTGCTGTGACGTTGAAGGCATGATTTCCAGCTTTCAGTGTGTTCTGGTGTGAATGTGGTGTGTTTGTTCTCTGTGTCTCCAGTCATCTGTCATGTCGTGGGAATCACGTATCAGAACATCGAGTACAGGCTGCTGGCCGAGATGCTGGGAGATCCTCTGGGTGAGACGCCGTCCTCCACACACACACTCACTCTCACACACTCCCTCACACTCACTCACACACACTCCCTCACACACACACACTCCCTCACTCACTCACTCACTCACTCACTCACTCACTCACTCACTCACTCACTCACTCACTCACTCACTCACTCACTCACTCACTCACTCACTCACTCACTCACTCACTCACTCACTCACTCACTCACTCACTCACTCACTCACTCACTCACTCACTCACTCACTCACTCACTCACTCACTCACTCACTCACTCACTCACTCACTAACTTTGATAGAAAGGTATGTAATGAATTCTGTTGAATAGCTGTCAGCTGTTAAATTTAAGAACACAATTAGATAAAACCAATTCATTACCAAGCAGTGCTTCATTCTGTTCAGTCTGTGGTGTAAAAAGATCACATTAGCAATTAAAGAATAACACTGAAGCAAAACATGCCTGAATATTTTTTAATCCCATATTTCACTGTATGAAGAATCTTTGGGTGTAATATGTCACGGTTTACTTTATTTAGCTATCCTCACTTACATAAATGAACTATAGTGTCCTGCACCCACTAGTAAAAAAATATCAAATATTATATCTACTTCAGGTAGTACAACGTAAACATGGTTTATGAGGTTTACGCTTCCTGTTTCCCCGTAAACCGAAAGGCTTAAAAAAATAAAACTAAACAGTGTTTTTTAAAATTCTAAATATGCCTGTAGTTTTGTGTGAGGGGAAGGAGACAGAAAATACAGTTTGGACAGTATATGAACCATTCTGCCTGTGGAGAGTTAGTGAATGTTGTGTGTGTCTCAGGCCAGTCTGGAGGAGAATCGAGATCTCATTGATGGAATCACAGGATTTGAGGACTCAGTGCGGAAATGTAAGTGATTGTTGTATTTCTGATGTTATATAGATTATTATGTTTCCTCATCTGCTGCTCACTGAAACCTCTGAAAGCCCAATTTGTTCAGACTTGCATGGTGCTTCACATATATAACACTTAACACACACATACAAATACTCAAAATACACCAAATACACATGGGAAATAGAAAAAAAATTAGATAAAATACAAATTAAAATTAAATAAAATAATAAATAAATCAACTAAAATTATTACATTTTATGAGACATCTGCTCTCATCACAGCCGATTAATTTTATTATGAATCTCTAAAGGTGCAGTGAACCAGGATTACTGTGACTTATTTCATATCTTAATGTTGGCAGTGCTGTGACGTTGAAGGCATGATTTCCAGCTTTCAGTGTGTTCTGGTGTGAATGTGGTGTGTTTGTTCTCTGTGTCTCCAGTCATCTGTCATGTCGTGGGAATCACGTATCAGAACATCGAGTACAGGCTGCTGGCCGAGATGCTGGGAGATCCTCTGGGTGAGACGCCGTCCTCCACACACACACTCACTCTCACACACTCCCTCACACTCACTCACACACACTCCCTCACACAAGCTTTCAGTGTGTTCTGGTGTGAATGTGGTGTGTTTGTTCTCTGTGTCTCCAGTCATCTGTCATGTCGTGGGAATCACGTATCAGAACATCGAGTACAGGCTGCTGGCCGAGATGCTGGGAGATCCTCTGGGTGAGACGCCGTCCTCCACACACACACTCACTCTCACACACTCCCTCACACTCACTCACACACACTCCCTCACACACACACACTCCCTCACTCACTCACTCACTCACTCACTCACTCAC